ATAAAAATTATATGAATAATTTTGTAATTAAATAAATATTTAATTTTAATTTGTTAATTTATTATTTTTAAATTAATATTTTCTGATTCTTTTTTAAATCACTTTTTTTTATAACTGAAAAAGGTTACTTTTATTTAATCCTTTCCTTTTTTTGTTTTTCTTTCAAATTTCTTTTCACGTTTTCATTTCTTTATTAACAAATGAATTCTTATGGGAAAACTCCACTCACAATAAATTGTGAGATCAGTTATTGCGACCAACCAAATTATAATTAAAATAAAATGGGTGGAGTTAGAATGTCAGTGAAATGTAAAAAATGAAGAAAGGAGATATTTTTAGGCAGAGGCATATCAATCAAACAGTATCACATAATTAAGTGCATGTCTAACCAAAGGTTACAAACAAAATATTTAAAACATAAAAACAAATCATAGTTAAGGAAATTTAGCAGCATTCTAAAATCCACCAAATAACATGATTAAAGGAAACATAATCACAAAAACATAAAAGTGTAAAAAAATTGTCTACTTTTCCGTCACACTTTGATGTAGGAAATTTATTTATGTTATATACAGTGTGCATTGTTTGCGGTCCTTATAAAACCAATGTACATTTAAGATGTTTCTGTCTAAAAGAAGGGTGATTTTGTTTTGCTCTATAAATATGTTTTCATTTTATTGGCAACTGTCGGTGGCCTCTTACCTGTTATTAGAATATATTATTCGGTTATATAATCAGTTTAAAACGTGTATAATGGAATTCAGATAGTCTTATTTAAATCATATTTTTTTATTATGGTTTATACTCACTCTCTTTTATAATCTAATACACCCTCTTTTATTCAAAACAACAAATATCTCTTATATAATAATACATTCTAATCATACATAAAATTAAATAGTTTCGTTAGGGAATCATTATCAATCAATTACATTTAAATATAATATCCAAATAGAGATAATTTTAAAAGTAGGACATCAACGGAATAAATATTGATGCTCTCTGAATTATTTTCGATGGATTTTATTATATGATTTTCTTCCCATAACAACATCTTAATATCTAAAATAAAATAAAATTTTAGTCTCTAAATATTAAATGTTATCATTTTATTTCCGTTAAGTAGTTTGATAAAGTAAAAATTGATATTTTGCTAACCAAGTTAAAAAATTATGAATAATCAAAGGTTCATCTCTACAAAATTAATATATTTATTAAAAAAATTATTTTAAATTTTTACCTCTTTCTCATGCTTTATATATATTTATATATATATATATATATATATATATATATATATATATATATATATATATATATTATCAGAATTGAAAATAGATCAATTTTTTTTATCATTTAAAAACATTTTACATGTAAAGTATGCATTTTTGTCACTGGATCAAATATCACCTATAAATTTTATTGGATAAAAATAACTTTAAAATACAAACAGAGTTATTCTAATTTAAGTTGTTGCTACCTGCACCCAATAATTATATTAAATCATATTTTATCTTTATATTTATCTTTATTTTCATCTTTGAAATATATTTTAGATTGACTTTTTACATAAACACATTCTAGAATCTGGGATGCGTTTCCTGGAACACCCAATTTGAAATATATTTTTGAAAATGATTTTCTAAAAATGCATTCTGAAACACCCAATCTAAAAATGCATTTCTAGAAAAGTTTTTTCATAAATGTATTATGAAACACCTAATCTAAAATATGTTTATGGAAATGTCAATCCGGAAATGCATTCCAGATTTTGTGTTTTGGAATGCATTTTCGGATTAGTTGTTATAGAAGCACATTCCAGAACTAATGTAGAATGTATTTTCGAATTGTTCTTTTTGGAAACACACTTCAGAATACTCAATTTAGAATGTATTTTCGGATTGACTTTTCTGAAATTTAACTTTATTTTCGTGACATTGTTTTAGATCAAACAAATTTTGTTTGTTTGTGTAATTTGAATGCAGAAACATGTAATTTATACATAATATTAATTATTACTTACCTTTTGTTAGAAAAGGTCTTTAATGAAGGTGATAATACAAAAAAAAATAACCAAAGCATAAAGGTGCTTAAGGAAGTTGTACATAATAAAAGAAGAAGAAATTAGGATAAAAAACAAAATTATGAGAAGGGTATTTTAGATATTTAGGATATGAAAGTGTAAGAAGAAATTATAAAGGTCATGAAGCAAAAGCCTTTTATTTCTTCTCTATTTTAGCCCTTCAAAATTTCGAGGTTTGAGTCCATCACGTAGAAAATTGTCACGGGCCTAAATCTTTTTTTTTTCTCTTGACACCTCTTCATGATTTCTAACTTATTTTTAAAATTGAAAAGTCAATCTAAATCAAACTTTGTACTATAAATTGCCTTTTGAAAGAACCAGTTGCTAAGTGCAGGCCCAAAGGCCCATATTTCTGGGTGTTCTAACCCAAACTTGACTCAGGAATGACATCGAACGCTATTTTCTTCCAAACCCAAAATTTAGAAAATCTGTTTTTTTTTTTTTTTTTTTTTTTTTATATTCCTCACTTACTTCAACACTTCTAAAGAATTTTATTTAGGACTTGTATGATTAAATTTTATCTTTTATTTTTTATAAATAATTTTAGAGATATTTTAATTTTTTTAAAGATAAATTGAGAAAAAAATTGTTTAATAATTTTATTTGTAAAAGAAATTGTTTTCATAACAAAAGTTAGAAAATAATTTTAATAGTTTTATAGTGATGAAAATGAGTAGTCATTAATGAAAATATTAATAAAAATAGAATACACATTTTATCAATTTTTTAAAATTTTAAGTAAAAAAAATTAAAATTATTATAACAAAAAAAAAAAACTGTTTCTTAAATAAACCCTTAGTTTTTCAAGGGGTTTTATTTTCCTTCTCATACATTGGACTTGGGCTTATTCGAATTTACTTTCCCATGATTTTTTTAAAGAAATTATAAAAAAAATGTAATTAATTTCTTCATATAAAAATTTAAATAAGTTGTAAAAAAAATGTATAAACTCTTAGAAAGAAAATTGTAAAAAGAAAACACTTTATTCCCAAAAAAAAACAATATTATTGTTGGAAACAATGATAATAATATAGTATGCAATGATAGAGAATAGAAAAGGAGAAATGATGAAGCAATCACAAAATTTCCAATGAAGTTCCTTCAAGTGAGTGAGTGTTATTAAAGTTGAAGTGATACAAAACGGAGAAGTAATGAAACAATGAAAAAAAAAATATTAGCTGTTTTAATTTTAAACTTAACTTCGCATCATAGTTATACTTGTAACTAAATTAAAATATTAATTACCCAAATCACAAAACTAAATCTGTATAAAATTGCAATATACTTTGTCCAATCGTAAAACATACTGCAAAGGCAAGTAGTTGCTTAAAGCTTCTAAAAGTGTTCACTAGACTCATGAACAAACAAAACGTTTGCAACTATCTTCAATTTAATTCATCCTCTTCAGAAAAAATTAGTTACGCAAATCATTAAAATTTACTACATATTAAAAAATATAAAATATTTGAATGAACTAATAAATAAGTAAAGGGTTTTAAAATTATCATTTAGTTGCTAAAATTTAATTATAACGATTTATATACAGTTATATGATTTTTATATATTTTTTAAATTTTTACAAAATATATTAGCATATATTCATGTTTTTCTAATCGTTAATTCTACGAACATACACACACACACACTATATATATATATATATATATATATATATATATATATATAGTGTGTGTGTATAACCAGCGCAAAAGACTTCATCTACGTGTCGAAAACCGAACAAGAGATACGACCATGATTTTCAATAACCCAAAATTAATAATAATTATGTTCTAAATGGAGCATAAGTTATGGAAGTTTCGGACTTTGCATACTTCACTTTGTAGTTTAGTTTTAAGCCTTTTCAGCTTTTTATTCTTGTCTCCTGCAAAATTCTCCCAAAGCTCAACTCAACGCTAACTTGTTCCCTTCTTTATTCGTCTTCTCTGCTTCTGGGTATGTCATTCTCCTCAACTTTAATTTCTGGCAACATACCATGAAAAACCATTACCCTGTCAATTCCGTGGCTTCTTATGCTTATGTCGTCTCTGCACTTTCCATTTTTGTGAGATTGGTTGCGTTTGAGTTTGGATAATTCCAAGTCATTTATCTATTGTTAGCAATATTTATATTTCATTTCTATCTTCTTGAAGATTGTTTGGAGGGTTGGTTAGGAGTTTCGGTCATTATTGGTTTATTTACAACGAAGTTGATTGTTCTCTTTGGGAATTTGAGCTTTGGGTACATGTGTCTTGATTATTTGATTTGATTTAGTGCTTGCATTGCTGTTACTTAACCAATTAGCTAGTTATCAATCGTTAATTTTTTGTTGGCTTGCATATATTCCATCTACATTCGAATTAACCCACCTTTTTTTTGTCTGCCGATAACTAATCTTTGCCAGAAACCTGCCTAACCATGTTTAGTGGCCATCTCCTTTCAAATATTTTATCTATTCATAAGATTCAAACTCAAAACTTTGCTTAAAGGATACCCGAGACTTTGCTTAACGGGTACAAGTTTCGTTTCACTTGAGCCAGCTATTGTTTAAGAAGTTATATTAGTAGCTGTAAGGACCCAATCTGGTTCTGGTTGTATCAAATGGACATTGCATATAAGTGTGCTGCACTTTAGTGGTCAATTCATTGTGCCATGTGTGGCTTTAATTTTCTGTGCTATGCATTAATTATCATTCATGACATGAGGCTTCTATAACATGTTAGTAATAATTTGGGTGACCAAAGGACAATGGTGAATAGTTTACTAATAACTTATGATTGTTCTCAAGAAAATTTTGTTAACATTGTTTTTCAGCCCTGAATGCGCCTCAGTGGTTAATGTATGATTTTTGGTGTTAATACAACAATGCTTGACTATTAGCACACTACCTGCAAGAATCATTACAAGAACTGAGAAGAAGATGCAGCTATATCATCATCCGTTGGATTTAGACAGCCAGAGGGTGAGACTTGCATTGGAGGAGGAGGGTGTGGATTATACATCTCACCATGTCAATCCCATTACTGGCAAGAACTTAGATTCCTCTTTCTTCAAGGTGAATCGCCATGGAAGGGTCCCTGTTTTTCAAAATGGTTCTCACATAATTTACAATACCATTGATATAATCCAGTATGTCCTATTCTTCACACCCTTCTTGTACCATTCTATTTATTTCTACTTACATAGATGTGCATAAAAAGAATATATTTTTGTATGCTTATGTGGTGGCACTTGAAATTGTAATTACCAAAGAAAAAATAGTTGAAAAATTGATTGCTGACCAAGTCCTACCTTCTTATAAAGCAGCAAATTGTGTATGCATATAAAAGTGATTTGTATTGTTTCTTGATAAAGTTTAATAAATTACTGAGCCATTTGCACACTAAGAATGACGAGTATGTACAATTTTGAGTTTACTTTCAAACCTTTATGTTACAAACGGAAGTTATATATTTGGGTTGAATGCTCAGGTACATAGAAAGAATTGCTGTAGTTTCTTCAGGGGCTGAGAGTATCAGTGCCAGTAACAGGGAAGTGATTGAATGGATGCAGAAGATACAAGACTGGGAGCCCAAGTTTTTCACACTTTCACATATACCCGATAAATACCGCTTTTATGTTTCCAAGTTCATAAGGCAAGTGGTGATTGCTCGCATGTCTGAGTCACCTGAATTAGCAGGAGATTACCATAGGAAGTTGAGAGAAGCCTACGAGACTGAAGAAAAATTGAAAGAAGCAGATGTTTTGAGAAGGAGCAAGGAGCATTTGGTTAGAATTCTTGATGAGGTGGAGAGACAACTGTGTGAAACACCTTTTTTGGCAGGTCAAGATTTTACCATGGCTGATGTGATGCTCATTCCAGTATTAGCTCGTTTAAAACTCTTGGATTTAGAGAATGAGTACATAAATGGAAGGCCAAACATTGCTGAATACTGGCTTTTGGTTCAGCAAAGGCCTAGTTATAAAAGGGTGATTGGTAAGTACTTTAATGGTTGGAGAAAGCACAAAACACTCTTAAAAACATGGTTCTTAGTTCGTATTCGAAGTTTGCTGAAGAGGTACTAGTGCAACACTTGTATATCTGTCAGGATTTCCAGAAGGGGATTTGAATAAGTTGGATACAACTGCTGCATATGGAGGATTAGAGAACTTATGCTAGATATTGTTCTTTGTTTATTCTAGTTTTTGCTTTCAACACTTTTTTCTTGAGAGGAAAAGGGTGGGGGGGCTTGATGGTAGGTGGTGGTGAAAGATGAGTATTGAAACAGTTCATGCATGTCAAAGTGGCCAGCCTGAAAAGATCTTTTGGCTGAGTATTGAAACAATTCATGCATTGCAATCTTAATCCCTCAAAAGAATTAAGAAAAGGAAAAATTGCAAATACTGACATTTGGAATCACAGGGTTACTGCTGCTGGTATGTAAATTAATTCTGATACTTGTAAATTTGATCAAAGAAACATAGTCTAATGGTATACATTTTCTTGCTTTGTGAAGAGCATGTTGAACTACAAGTTGCAGTTTGAACAAAGGACCAGAGACAATATATCATCTACGCTCACAGACTATTCGTTTCTACGAAACATTGAATTGTAAAGTGAATTTATTTTAGTTATTGACTTAATCAAAATATTCAGTCTATGATTACTCTGTCAACCAACAAGTTATTGGTTATTTAAACTAATTAAACTAGCTATATTAAATAACTAAATACATAAGTATATATAAGACAGACTTTTTTGTTGTAGTTTACCTCGCATATATTTATATGCAATAAATTATTAGTTTATTTTTATTTTTTATTTTTTTACTTCATATTTTAAGATCAATGATATAAATATGAACATAATGTAATGTTAAACAAAAATATTATTTTTCAAGTCAAGAAGTTATATTATTGGATACGACATTGTTTAAATATTGTATATTTTTAAAGGAATATATAACATTAATTAGGTCATGTTAAGACAATCCATAATATAACTTAATTAGGTCGTGTTAGGATCATCCATAATAATATAACTGAATTTAGGTCACTCTAAGACAATCTATAATTTTCTTTTCTCACCTTTTCTGAGATTATCATTTTTTTTTTCTCTTTTTCCTTCTTTTCTCTCTCATCTTTTGACTGCACCAACGACCATACTGTCCTTTGCTGTTATCCATTATTTCCTCACTCCCCCACCCACATAATCTTATCCGTACAAAATTTTAATTGAAATTTTCCAATGGAATATGCATTGGTGTGTTAATCTTTGCATAAAGAAAATCATAAGAGAAAATTTTGAGAATGAAATCTTTTTCCTAAATCCTAACCCAGCACTACCAATTACAATGGTTAAAAAATTATACACACAACATTTTTTAAAAATATTCGGGCTAAAGTCACAGTTCAAATGGTTAGATTGCGTTTTTAGCAAATTTTTATTGTTTTCAAAATTACGCCATAGACGAGTATAATTAATTTTAAAAGAAGCAAAAATTAACGAATTTTCTGTTGATCTGAGTTGTTTCTAATTCCTACACGTAAACTTCACAAATTATATTTACATTTATGTTTAAAAATGATTATATTCTATCTTTCAAATAGTTGTCTTTAAAATATCATTCATTCATTATTTATTTAAACCTCAATATTTTTTACTATCTTTTTTAAATAAAAATATAACCTAAATTAACCAAAGCTATATTACAAGTTTTCAAATTGCAAACACAAATAATTTTATTTCAACTTTTAATCCATTGAGTTATATTTTTAGTTTCTCATATATAATGTTTTAAGTCTCCTAAATTTAAAATTAATTATTTTAGTTTTCCAATTTAAAAATATATTTTTTAATCTTTGCAAAAAAAAACATTTATAATATATTTGGTAGTAAAAAAAAAAGAGAAATATATGAAAAATAAAGTAAAAATAAATATTTGTTTAATATTATTTTATTATAGTATTTTATTTGATTTATTGTTATTATTATTGAAGTTTAATAATTTAATATGTATCTAAATCATATATTTTAATATGTTCGTTCCAAAAAAGTTTAAAAAGAAAAGTTTTTTTTTTTAATTCATAATAAAAGACAACTCTTGATTAAGACAAGAATTGACAAAAAAATTAAGTTTTTAATCCACACCAAAAGAATAACTCTTGACTCAATATAAGAAGTGAAAAAAAAAGTTAACTTTCATTTTGATATCAATTAAGATTCTACTGTAAAATCAATTTGCAATGTATTAAGTAACCTAACGTATATTTAAAGTATATCACATTACATAAAACAGACAATGTGTGAATTTTAACAATAATAATAATTATTATTTTATTCATTTAAGAGGTTAAAAATATATTGAAATATTTTTAATTTAACACAAACCTACTTTACAAAATTAAAACAATATATTGCAATCAACCACAGAAACACATTATAATTCAATGGATATATAGTGAATTCAAGAACCTTGTGTGTGAGAAATTTAATCCATGGCTTCCTTACGTGAATGTTGTCATTTCACAAATTTACAAATCTTTCAAATCAGAGACACTCGTCTCCGGGAATCATCACAGGTGCTTGATGAAACCAAGACATAGACCCTATCTTCCTCTTATTTCAACCATGACCTTGACTTAGACCAAATTGTGCACTTCCCTTTATGTTTGAAACACTTCCGTTTCCCTTTTAAGACTTTACTTTAAATATATGCTTTGTTTATCGTGGGAATCCGTGATTAATTAATTAACCTTCTTCTGATTTGATGGTCCATTCTCATTGTTATACTTTTGTTTGTTTGTTTGTTTGTTTCCCTACAATCATTTTATGTGGTTTGCCTTCCAAATAGAAAGATAGAGCTCAATTTATTTCACTTCCAAAGAAGAAAGTTTGCTTGTCTCGTGCATAGTTTCAAAGACATTTGTAAATAATAATTTTGAAGGAATAAAAAAAATATCAATTCACATCATATTATTTAATAATTATGCCATTACTAAAAAATATCTTTTCATTAAGTCCTTCTTCTTTCTAGCACTTATATATTAAAGTTACTTATGTTTCATCATTCAAAACAAATATTTTTAATTTTTTACGAATAATAATGTTAATCTCAATTTTTAAAAACTTTTTTTTTTTCAAAATCCGTATTCTATCAAGTAAACAAATCATAGGTTCACTACCATGGTACTCATGTATACCACAGAATTCAATACGAATTAATTACGTGTCGTCCAAAGCCAACACCAAACCCAATTCCACAAGTCACACAAGCACACCCTACCCTTTCCTACCCCAAGATCCTTAACCCTATATAATAAACCACTTAAATAACTAAATAAGAATGTCAAAAAATTTGCCACAAACCATAGCAATTAAATGACCATGAGAGTGTGAAAGGAGACCAATGGTTAAGAAAGTGCGACAACTAACAAAGCCAAATCAAACATCATGTAAAAGTTACTTCGGTTGGCTTTGTCACTGTCCACTGTGCCCCTAAGAAAGTTCCTTATCCTCAAACCCGTTATGGCATGTTGCTACCTCTTCTCTAACTTTTATCTTTGCAACCCTTTCATCTTCTCCATTTCACAAGCAAGAAGACCAGGGAACATAGAAGATAAAAGAGAGACAGAGAGAGAGAAAAAAAAAAAAGAGTGTGAGAAATGGGGAGGGGAAAGATTGAGATCAAGAGGATCGAGAACTCGAGCAACAGGCAAGTTACCTACTCTAAGAGAAAGAATGGGATCCTAAAGAAGGCTAAGGAAATCACTGTTCTATGTGATGCTCAAGTTTCTCTTATCATCTTTGCTGCATCTGGAAAGATGCATGACTACATCAGCCCTTCTACTACGTAAGGATCGATCTTGATGCTTGTGTTTAATTTCTTCTTGCTTGTATCTCTCTTGTCAAGTTTATTGTTTGTTTTCCTTTTAATTTCTGTTCTTGATTCATCAAGGGCAGTTTTACCAAGTGCATGGAAAAAGTACTATTTGATTGATCTACAAATTAAAACTCTCCTTACTTTGTGGTTTTTGTTTCTGGGGTTTGGATATTTTGGTTGATGAAGGTTGATTGACATATTGGAGAGGTACCACAAGACCTCAGGGAAGAGGCTTTGGGACGCCAAGCATGAGGTTGGTTGGTTAATATAGCTCCTATTTTGTGTATGTTTTCTATTTGTCCAAAGGAAAATATATGACCTACTTTTGCTAAAAATATGCTATGGAACATGAACTATGAATTCTCTGAGTAGATCTAAATTTGGGTTGTACCTTCTCCCTATATGAGTATTATATTGTTTTTTATTATTATTGAAAAAGAGAAGCAGGAGTTACAAGAAATGTAACATCTATGAACAGATCTGGCAATAAAACATTACTCACTTGCTTACTTTTCCTTGCAAAAAAATGAAACAACAACTGAACATAGGAATAAAGACTCTATATATAAATTAAGTCTTTCACAGTTGATGGATCTCTCTATTGTCTGACATTAGAACCAGCGTAGAGAGTCAGATCTACTCCAAATAGCCCTTTCTTTTGAGGATTTCTGGCTTTTTTTCAACATCGTACACTCCCTTCTATTTTCTCTGTGTATTTTTTTAAAAGAAAAGACAACTAAGTGTTTTAGGGTTTGTGGCATCTAATGTCGTTGAACTCAGAACCTAAACAGTGAAATTGAGAGACTCAAGAAAGAGAATGACAGCATGCAAATTGAGCTCAGGTATGTTATTAACATTTCACCTTTTAAAACCATGTTACATTCTTATTTTTCTCTCTCTCTCTCTCTCTCTCTCTCTCTCTCACCACCTTTCACCAACTTGTACATTACAGGCACTTGAAGGGGGAGGATATAAACTCTCTCAACTACAAGGAACTCATGGCCTTAGAAGATGCCTTAGAAACTGGTCTCGTAAGTGTCCGCGAGAAACAGGTAAAATTAATCTTCAAGATGCTAAATTTTTAAGTTTTTCAGGGTTGTGCTATATTTATAACTAAATATAGAGGATTTATTTGACTAAACTCCTCTATAAATACTTATGACATAAGGAAAACAAGAAGATAAAAAAAGAAGAAGAAGAAATAAACTAGTTTATAAGTAAATTTTTTTTATTTTGAAAAAGTTAATATGATCAAATTTTTAACATGATTTTTGTTTGTGGAAAATCTTGTTTTTTTTTTTTCTTCTTTTATAAGTATTCGTATAGTAGAGAAATTTATCACCATAGTATATAGCTTGTACTGATAAGGAGTGTGTTTAGTGGTAATAAAACCATATACGTTATCTGATAGAAAACTTGTGTTTTTCTCTGCAGATGGATGTGTACAGGATGTTCAGGAGAAATGTATGTTGAATTGAAATCTCTGATTTATGGTATTCTAATAGTATGCAAAACAAATTACTAACTTTTTATTTTTAATATGCACTGCTGTTCAGGACAAGATCTTGGAGGAAGAGAACAGGGAACTTAATTTTCTCTGGGTACGTAATACATTACACACACCTACTGTTTAATACATGGTTACTTCCAAACAGCACTTCCATGCCATCAAAATTTCCTTATTTCATGCTCTTTTCATTTATAGACTTATAAATTACAATTACAATTACAACCATGATTTATCTGTAATAATTACCTTGAAGCATAGTAGTATTAAAATAAAGGGAATTTATCTAAATGTAAAAACTCACCTAAAATATTTTGTTTCTGTTGTTATCTTGTTCAAAATCCCCACCCTCAATTAAACTGTGGTGACAATTTTTTTATTTTTTTTTTATGACAAAATTTGAGAAGTCTAATGTAATCTATACATAACATTGAAAAAAACTACATTAATTTGATCTTATTCTTATTTGATTTACCTATTGTTTAGAATCAAAAGATGTGATGGTTAGTTTGTAGAGGTTACATGTCACAAATGTATTTTAACTCTAGTAATCAGGAAGAATTTAATTTTGCTCTAGGTTTATTTCAATATTTTCAAAATAGTAAATTTTCATAGAAAATATTTATTACATTAATAAGTAAATAAATAGCTCTGCATCCCCCAACCCACACACTTAGTGGATGCCTACTTGTCTGTAAAATTTCTTTTAATTAGTGAATGACAAATAAATTGTTTAGGGTTTATGACTTACCAATCTTAAATGCTATAGATACTTCTAAAGTTAAAACTTCATTTTGTAAAGTAGTGCAATATATTTTTGCTGACTTGGTTAACTCTTTCACCCACAATTTATATGTTACGAATATTAAATTTTAGAAAATATTTATATAACTATCGTATAATATATCATAGCTTTTTAACTGTGGTCTATCTCAAAACAAATATTTTTGAAGTTTTTCCAGATATAAATATACAAGATGCATTTGCATATCACAATTTTTGAAATGATAAAAGAAAAAGAAAAATTATATTCAACTAGTAAAACTCTTGTCTGTTTCGAGTTTAAGCAACTGTTTATAATAGAAATTAAAAATATCACTAAAAATTAAGAATGTTGTGTTGTTGATCGATGAATATATATATATATATATATATATATATATATATATATATATATATATATATATATATATATATATATATATATATATAAGTTTTTTCTGTTTCCTTTTAGTTTTTTATGAGAAAAAAATAGTTGTGACTAAACAAAATAACATTGTAAATAGTTTATCCCTATTAGTGGTGATGACCATTGAACTCTTTTTCTTGTGTGGTGTGATTTGAACAGCAACAACGTTTGGCAGTGGAAGGTGCGAGAGAAGTGGAGAATGGATTCGATCAGAGCGTGAGGGATTACAATTCCCATATGCCATTTGCCTTTCGTGTGCAACCAATGCAGCCAAATCTTCAAGAAAGGATCTAACATAACATACTTCACTTTCTTGGTTATAACTCTTCAAATCAAAACTCCATCTTCGTGTTTTCATCTGCATGTCACAACTCTTTAAGTATGTTGGTATGTGTTTGTAACTAATAAACCACTCAACTTGGCTTTGTTATTCAATTCACAACATATCCCTGTGTGTCTCCTACCCTGTCACCTGTTTGTATGTTTGTCTCACTATTATATATATACTTTCACTCACTCTCATTCTCTTATCTGGTGTGCCTTTATATATATAATTTAATGTGAACGAAATCAGTTCGTAGCAAAGCACATATATTAGCCTCCATAGCATAATCTCTCTGTGACATCCACTTATAATGAATGGAAGTATAAGGTTTAATTTGTATGAATAAGAACAACAAATTTAATTTATCTGAAAAATATATATAATGTTAACTCAGTAGTTTTTGGAAAATTTTAATCTTTCAAATACTATTTTCCTACATTTTTAAATGTAATTTATGTCCATATATTACCTCAATATCTACTTTTTAATAAACATACTGATTTAATAGTAACATACTACCATTTACTTATTCATTGGAATGCCATGATGTTATCTGAATTCAACTTTTTGGAATTTATTCTTTCAAAAATATAATAACCTTGAGATGATTAATATCTTCTTTAACAAATCAAGATGTTATATTCTTTTAAATTTGATTTTTTTTTTCTTTCGTTAATTTTAAGTATATTAATTTTTTCGTGAACACTTCATTGACATAGAGTGTGTTTGTAAGAACTTTGATGTTTAGTGATACAGTAACTACATAATTAATGTATATTTTAAACTTGTTCTTATTTATATATTTTAATAAATTTATACATTAATTAAGCCAATTATTTATCTTAGTCAGTTCTTGACCAAAATCTTCTAATAATATGCATTTGTATATGCGAGATCTTCTCGTCGGCATATTATCCATACATAAGTCACGTCCCTTAAACACAAATTAGTGTTGTCTGTCTCAAATTAATTGTAGATCTATGCATAAGAAAAAATTAGATTCATAATCCAATTACGCTTAAGAAAGGTATTACTATTATACTACGTTATATGAAAAAAATTAAATAATTTTATTTCTTAGACTAAAACTTAAAACAAAATGCTAACATTTATTTAATATATTCATAATATACTATGTTGAAGAAGATTAAATTATAATATTTTATATATGTATCTCAAAAACAAAATAAAGTTTCAGAATTTGTATTTATTATGTTTATTAAAGTGCAATAATTCCAGCTTTCAACGCCATACTATACCCAAAAGTGTAAACAAACCTTTTGAAGTTGTGGCCAATAAAAAAAAAGTCACTAAAGTCTGTGCGATGATTTCCAACAATTTGACAAGAAACATCTCAGTCATTAAAATGGGGTTCGCTCATGCATATGCGTGGACCTTGACTCAAGTTTACTCGGAAATTTATATTTTTACAGTTGATTTTAGATAAACAATTAATAAATATTTATTAAATGATAAATAAGAGAAAAATTATAAATATAAATATTATTTATATTTTTAACTGATTCTATTTTTTAAAATAATCAGTTAATAACTAAATAATAATATTATTATATTTAACTTGTGAATTAGGTCAAGATCTACGCAAATGCATGTCCCAGGCACTGTCTTCTCAAGACAACCTTCTCAAATTCTGGGAAATTTAAATCTGCCCTAATTCCGACGCAGACTTTGAAGGTGTTGCGTGGAAATGCTTTCACATTGCCTTAAAAAATAAAATTTTATTTTTGATGTTGTAGTAGAAAGTTCTGACTAAATATGAACACGTTACAGGGACCCGAGGTTCTGAAGGCACGTTTTGTTAAACTTGTTTTTTCATGTTTATTTTAAAAACTAAAATAATAAGAGATCGTTTTGCGAGTACTAAAACTTCATTCATCATTTCAAAATACGAAATCTGTTTTTTCATCTATCTATACATAATTTAATTTAGATAAATTATATTATTATTATTATTATTATTATTATTATTATTATTATTATTATTATTATTATTATTATTATTACCTATCTTTAATTGTTTTCTTGACGTTTTTTAAGCAAATATTTTTACATGATTTTAACGTAGACAAATATTATCTTATATCAGATCATAATGTTCGAAAATATAGTTTATATTTTTTAAATTATATACTAAATTAGAAAGAATTGAAGCATGTACCTTTTCAAAAATTAAATTGGACATTAAATGGTTTCTTTTTCACATTCATTATACAACGACACACAACCATCTAGACACGTACAAGATTTAACGTTCATCAACCTGACACTGACACATGTACGAATACAGCTTCAATTATTTATTTATATATTTATGATTTCAATTTATATGTTTATATACTTATATACGTATATTAATTTTTAGTTATACTATTTTGGAGTAGTATGATCAATATAAAAATATTACAAAAATCACATGAATAATTTAATATATTTTATATTTTTTTTATTAATTTAAACTTAAATATCTTTAAAAAACATAATTTTAGACATCTATAATTATATATTAAAAATGCATAATTAAAAATTTAAGATCTTTGAAAATATTAATTAAAAAGTTATTTTATTAATACAAAAATAATTAATAATTTTATAATTATACAAATATTTAAAAATAAATAGAATAAAAAATAAAATCAAAATCAAAACTAAAATTAAAAAAAAAGTGATAATTAAACTCAATGATAATTATTAATTGCTGTTTTAAAAAATGAATTATAATTACTTATATGAATAATTTGAGTAAAAAAGTGGACGCATATGCGTAATAATGTAGAAGAAAAGCGAGTCAAAGAAGACTAATGAATATTACAAGTCACAATATAACTTTTTCCAAAATACGTGCATGACTTGTATTCACACAATAATATAGAAGTCTTTTGTATGTGCCAAGTATCTCACTATCATCCTGAGAAGACAGCCTGGGGCATGCATAATTCTATCTTATATTAATTACACCCGAAAAAAACATAATTACCCATTAACTATTTTTTATAAATAATCATCACTTTTTTCTTGAAATTTTTTTGTCAGTAACCAAATGAAAGAGATGTGTAATTTGACCATTTTTTGCATAAAATATTAATAAATAAATATTTGTAAGGATAATATCATATCTATCCTATATGAATGTGGTAGGACCATAAAATAACTTTAAATCAAATATAAATATAAATGAGAAATTAAAGAAAAATTATCTATAAATATTAACTTGAGTCAATGGATGATAATTTATTTATAATCTCCTATTTTAAATTATTATAATTTTTAAACGGAAATTTAATATTATGATTATAGTCTTGATCTTATATAATTTCTTAATTTTTATTTAAATGTTATATTTTCATAAATATTTAAGAGTTAAGATAAAAGATAATTTATATATATATATATATATATTTTAATTCATCACACATTATAAAATTAAAATTTTAAAATAAATAATATAACATTACGAAACATGCAGTGAAATAGTAGTTTTTACACGCATAGCACATAAAATGATAAAGTTTCTTTACAAAATGTTGATATATTGACATTTACAGGAAAAAAACGTACGATAACTTATTTTATTATTATAATAATCATAAATAAATTTTATAAAATTAAAATAAATGAAGTAGTTAGATAGATATTGATAACAAATAATTTTTAAAAACTAAATATTACTGATTTTCTGTTGTAGATATTTAAATACTGTAATTTTACTTTCTAAAACTCTAATATTAACTCAACAAAATTATAATAATAATTGTAACTACACAAAAAAAATATATATATATATATATATATATATATATAAAATATCAAAATCTTTCAACTAAAATTTAAATTTATTATTTTTCATTTAATTTATCTAATAAAACTCCCTTCTAAATTTAAATACTTTTTTTCAACTAATTGAGATAGGTCAAAGACAAATTTAACTATTTTCTTTAAATTAAGATGGACCATAAACCGATTTGACAGACCTAAAAGCTTCTTCCATCCTTGATTTTAAATTTGACTTGTTGTCAATTCTTCATCTATTTTCTTTTGTTTGAGTTTCGTCAACGGTGTTAGTATTATGGTGCTTGATTTAGTCCCACATCGATTAGGATTGTGAGATGAGGTTCTCTATTTTGTTATATAAGCAACCCTATGTAAAGTTTGAGATACACACAGAAATAAAAATACTTCCTAGTGTAGTCGTGGACGTAGGCATACATATTTTAGCCGAACCACGTTAAAATTCTTGTGTCGTTTATTTTCTCTCCTTCATTCTTTCCTTTATTATTGTCTTGTTCCTAACAATTGGTATCAAGAGCCAATTTTCTTAGTATGCTCTGTGGTTGCAGCTTTGTCTGATCTTCCACATCAGAAAAGATTTGGTCTTTTTTCTTGGGAATCTCAGTTTAGAGAAGCAGTGGGAGCTTTCTTCGAAAGCAGTGAGAGCAATGGCATTGGAAGAAGGAAAGGTGAGGATCGAGAAGTTCGATGGCAGTGACTTCGGGTTCTGGAAGATGCAGATGGAAGATTATCTGTATCAGAAGAAGTTGTATCTACCCTTGACAGGGCAGAAGCCAACCGACATGGAGCAGTCAGAATGGGAGTTGTTAGATCGGCAGACGCTTGGTGTGATCCGGCTGACATTAGCCAAGAATGTTGCGTTCAACATCATGAACGAAAAGACAACCGTAGATTTGATGCAGGCGTTGTCAAATATGTATGAGAAGCCCTCTACAGCCAATAAAGTGCATTTGATTCGCAGGCTAGTCAACCTCAAAATGGGTGAAGGTAACTCGGTTACTAATCATATTAGTGAATTTAATGCAATTATTGCGCAGTTGACATCAGTGCAGATAATATTTGATGATGAGGTGAAAGCATTAATTTTATTATCATCTCTACCGAGATAGAGATAAAGGTATTTTGAACTTATCTCAAGAAAAATATATAGAAAAATTGCTTA